CCACTGAACCCTTTACACATTATGAGTGGTTTGGTATGGATCGAGCTCTCTCATATGCCAGCTACTTTATAGAAACCTTGTTTTGAAAGATATACTGCTAAATTACCTTAATTTTTCCAGAAATTAATTTGGCCTGAAATAATATTTATTAAATTTATGGCTACTATTAATTCGCGGTCTGTTAATCTCGCACCATAATATCTATGATCCAGAAGATTTGATGATATTCTCAGCAACAAAATTTCTTTCGTTTATTAATATGCATCTTAACACTTTTCAAATCATTTTCATTAAAAATAAAAGTTGATGAATTGAGTTTATCTTTTATATTTTAAAATATTTCTGGTACGATAATACAGCTGTATCAAATTCTACAATTATAATTTTGTTATAAATAAATTCCAAAAAAGTCAGTACAGACTCTAATTTATCCCAGTATCTTTCTTTGTCCACGCCTTCATTGTTTGTCTGTAAATAAACTTGAAATTGCAATTTCTTGCAAAACTTCCTTATTTTTCACAACACTTTGCAACATTATAACATAACCTCCCCGTCTTGTTAGACTTTGAATTTTTAAGGAAGATTTATATACTTTAAATATTTGCCTTTCTTAAAAAGTTGTCAATAAAATACCATTAAATTTTAAATATTTAATTAGTTTGGTTTTTATAATGATCTTTTCAATAAAAAGTATTTGGTATAAATCTTTAATAAGCAGATTCAAGTTATGTGCGGCACATCCAAAATATTCAATATAATTATATTTTGCTTTAACAAGATTCCAGGCCTTTTTCATATCCTTTACATTATCAATTACTGGTGATATAAATTTCTTGCTACCAATTTCTTCAATTACCTCATCATTTCAGATGCAATATAATCATCAGTGTGAACACTAGATCCAATGTCAATGGATTTATAGAAATTGGGTTATGGAATCATAATTATGAAATTAATGATGGACTCTCCATAAAGGTTTGTCCAGCCATCGCTAATGAGAGTAAAATCTTTTAAAGTATCGAATTTGTTGTTGATAATATTTGTCACTTTATTATATTCAAAATCTAAAAATATTTTACTAATTGTATATCTAAATAGAATTTTATAGGCTGGGAAAATTAATTTTAAAAATAGGATAAAATATTTATTTTCAACTAAATGAAAAGGGCAATTTGACATAAAAATGGCTAATGCCAAAGCCTGTCAAGTTGTGTTTGATTTTGTTCAGTTACAGTGACAAAAAAATTTTTAATTTTAGATGTGCCTGATACATTATTAAAATTATTGGTATTTTCTTTAAAAGTATTTAGAATGGTTTTATTTATGTCTTTTTGAGATATTATTTTATTAGTACTGGAATCTGGTATACATACTACAATATATTCTTCAGTAGAATTATTATTATCAACTTCATTAAATTGTAAACTGTTTATATACCTTTTACATTTTTTGGCATGCTGAGACATCTATGTTGAATTTGGGAAATTGTATGTCAACCCTTTCTTGTTATTAGCTGTATAATAAAATGTTTCCAAATGTTTAAAATTTTCCAAGGCATCTATAAAATATTGCAATCATATTAATTTAAATTAAACATCAATAAATTATTATACCAGTTATATAGTATGATTAAAATATAATGACCTTATATAACATAACTAAATATATCATTAATTATTAATAATTCTGTTGAGATGACCTGATTAATTTTTTTATATATTTCTTTTTCGTTATTAACTTAATACTAACCTTTAAAGTGATTTTTTGTTTTTATAAATTATTAAATTGATTTTTAGTTTATGTAAATTAGTAAATTGATTTTAGTAGTAAGTTAATAACGAAAAAGAAATATATAAAAAAATTAATCAGGTCATCTCAATAAACATTAAAGAAAATAATAAAATAAAAACTTTTATAATTAATAAAAAAAATTAAATAACTTTGAAAATAAAGAAACGTAAAACAAATATCATAGTAAAGGTAAAAGTTAAATATCTTGATGTTAAAAAAGATTTTAAGAATGTGATATGGAGATCATATGTTAAAAATGGAAGGCGAAAGGAAATTTTTTTTATAAAGAACAATTTGAAGATAAATTATGATATGAAGAAATTGTTTAAATTGAAAAATAAGGGAGTAAAATTTAAAATTTAAAAATAATTGAAATTTAATAATAAATAAAAAATTATTATATAAAACGCTATAATTCAAAATATTCTATGATTCTATATCCCAAATTATGATTATTATTCTTATTCTATGAATGATTCCAATAAATTATTTATTCCAAAATTATTTTATTCAAGATAAATTGATCATAATAATAATTTCAAATGATAAATAAATATAAATGATAATAAATAACGAGATGAACAAGCTAGTGTGATGATGATGATCAAGCGAATGATTAGACGATCAGGATAACAAGCTACAAACAAACCAAAATGATGAAGAAACCGAATTACCACTGAAACCAAACATTCCAAACAACACTTCACCATCGATTACTTTTTGCAAAAGGTGAAATGTCATCGACCAAATAAATGACCGTCTAGCTGAGGCTTAGAGGCCGAATAATAATAAGACGTTGACTGCGCGATATCAAGTTTATATCATGAACTTATAAGATTCACATACAAGAAGAACCTTAGTGGAGTTCATTTCTTAGAGGGTAGAATGTTGAGATGACCTGGTTAATTTTTTTATATATTTCTTTTTCGTTATTAATTTAATACTAACCTTTAAATTGATTTTTTGTTTATATAAATTATTAAATTGATTTTTCGTTTATGTAAATTAGTAAATTGATTTTTCGTTTATGTAAATTATTAAATTGATTTTTCATTTATATAAATTGATTTTTACAAGCTATATAAGCATGGAAATATTTTTAGTAAAAAAAATAATTTTTAAATAAAATAAAATTTTGAAATTTCTGATATGATCGTAATGTAATTGATGAATAAAATCTCATAAATATGTTATACCAATAAAATCTCATAAATTTGTTATACCTATTACCAGTAAACATTATGGACAATTGCATTATTAAACTAGAAAACTTCAAATTCTATAATATATCATATTAATATTATATATGAGAGTATAACATTTAATATTTTACCTTTTTTGTACTTTTAAAATAGATGTTTAAAGACTCACGAGGAAAATAAATAATATAATAAGTTAAATTATAAATCATAATTTTTGAAATAAAATATTATATTTATATTAAGGGAAAATTCGATAAATTTTACGAGAAAATATGAAATTTCCCTACCTTTACATCTCTTATATTAAAATGATTTTTAAATATAACGCTCTCTATATTACATTTTTTTATTTATAAAATAATAAAAAGTTAAATTAAATAAAAATAACAAAATTCGCTATCGTTTTTTATGATAAATATGAAAGTAATAAACATTCCGCGAATACCCACACCCAGAAAAATTCTTTTCAACAATGTTAATATTTTATTTTTACCGGAAATAAAAAAACATTCGATATTTAAATATTTTATTGAAGTTTTCCAATGTAAAATTTTAAGAGCTATAAAATGATATATAATTTATAACTCTATCTTAAATATTTTTTTTTTAAATGATACGCAATTTAGACTTTGACGTATGTCTTTGAATCTGATTGAGCTAGCGTTCTAAAATATTGATTTTACTAAAATATACATCGTGGATAACTATCATGCCAAGTTTCGTTCATTTTAGAAATGGTGGTCTAAAAATTTCGTTTTTGGCCAATTTGACATGGAATGACCCGTTATGAAATGCTTCTACTTTACTTCGAAGGATTATCTACAAAAATAATCTTTCATACCATTTAAATTCTAAAATTAATTGGCCTAAATACATTTATTTCCTATGAATAAAATTTAGCTAAATATTTAATTTTCCAAAATTAAGATTATATATCCTCAATTCATAGGGAGTTATAATATATGGTATTTGTAATAGTCATTTTTGATAAATGACAAATCGTTCATTGATTGAAGTCAAAATCCAAATGTGGAATAAAAACGGTTATTTTAAAAATCCTCAATTAACTCCAAGTTATTATTGGAAAGATTTGTTTGTCTGTGAAAGTCAAAGCTTGTGAATCTCAAAATCATATAATTTTGTTTTCATCTCGAGAATTTCCTGGTCGATATTATCTCTTGGTATATCACGATTCTCATAACTTCAGCCAAATCCTTTTTTAAAATATATAGAATAAAACTGTAATGTAATAAATAATTTATTCGGCAGCCATATTAAATCTAATAATGTATCAGTTTCAGATGAAATATCTGTTACGGAAGATTCTGATATTTCTCCAAGGGCATATAAATTAAGTTCTTCTAAATCCAAAAAATTCTGTAACACCTTGATATTGAAGGCTCCATCTTGTTCAGGCTTTATGCAGTATCTTTTTCCCTGTGCACAAGAAGTTTCAGAATAATTATATTCAGTTAATTCTTAATTGGATTACACTTTATCCAATCATAGTTATAAATAGGGATAAATTAAATAGATTTCCTTTGGTTAATAAAATTTTCTCATATCCATCAGTGTTTAAGGTTTAAAAAAATGTAAGAAAATAAACTTTTGTGAGATGAAATATTAAATATAAAAGAAATTAATATTTAAACTAATTTTAACATTTTGCTAATATTTAGAATAGAATATAACCTTGAAACATAATGAAGCCCTTTTATATTTTTCCAAAATTTCTTGTTACGGAGTAGGATGGACCCACTCGCTATGCACCTGTAATGAGTAAATATCAGATTGGATAAGTGTAAAATTTATGGATATCCACAGCTCTCGTATATAGGTTATTTTTGAATTTGTTTACCTTTTGTAAAAGGTACCTTGTATTTTATGTCTGTGTATTTTTTAAATTATGCACACACCCTTGGTTGTTTTTATTAAGATTAATCCTTAATCTACAGGCAATCATTATAATTATATTTTGTTGTAAAGTAAATGAAAATAAAAAATAACTTAATTCAATTGGGAAACTTTGAAAAAAACAAAAATATCCATCCTCATTGACGAATTGATGATTGTGAAAATTCAAAGATACCTAATATAAATATAAAGAAAAATTTTGATAAAAAAAATTAATAATTACTTTTTCAATGAAATTCATGTTTGGAAGTTTTAAGGGGCAGATGATGTTCATTGCTATTTTTAACTAGTTTAAATTCAAAAAAATTTTTTATACAATATTCATAAAAACAAATATAATTAATTTAATCATATCAAGCCTTAAGAGTGCATTTTATTTGTAATTTTTTATTATTTGCAATAATTATTTAGCAATGTTCAATTTTTGAAAATATTAAAATATAATTTTAAATAATAATTCACAAAATAGTAAAAATAACCTCTTTTATTTTTTCTATAATTTCATCCAAACTAATATTTCCTCTGATTATATTTAAACAGATATCATCTTCTGGGATCTCTGAACATACTAAGAAGCATATTGTTTCTCTATAATTTAACATTAATTGATATACATAAATTAGAAATCTGCTAGGGTCAAACTTTTTTAGCTTGACCCAGATTTTAAAAAATTTATGTTTGGTTCATTTGTATATTTTATTAGAAAGTGCTGGCTCATATTTAATTTTAAATTTTGTTCACTTGACAGCCTAGCTTAAATATTTAAAATTTCAACATTTTAAATAATTTTGCCTATAATTTGTTGCAAAAGGATTTCCATATTAAATTTGTCTAAACTTAGCTAAGATTAAAATCATAATATTTTATATGTTTAGGTCTGATGGATTGAAGGAGGCAAGAGCCCACCAGCCCAGCTTTAACTTTAAAACATAAATTAATAGCCTGTTTATAAAATTTAGCTCATTTTACACTTTAGCAAATCTTACCATTCTAAATAATTCTGGCTAAATGGTTTTATATGAATATTAATATAAGATAATTAGTGTTGTTTCATAACTGGTTAATTAATTGTTATATTTATTATTTATTTTAAAAAATTAGCCTGGGTTAGGTTTATATTTATATACAATTATAAGCCAAAAAGTCTTGATTTAAAGCAACAAACAATTTTATAATTTGATGTCTAAGCTGATATGTCTCTGATATAAAAATAAAAAGTAAAGAAAAAAAAACACCACATAAATATCTAAAACTGTTTATCTTCTTTAGAGTTATCATATGTATTATTTGATACAATATTAGTTAAACATTTTAATGCTTGAACAAAACATTTTATATCAATATCTCCAAATTCACTAAAATTTTAAAATTATTTTGAATAATACAATTAAAATGTATAATACTTGTCACTTTTAATTAAATTTTCAATTTGTTTTATTGTATTACAACACACGATACTAACTAAATTACGATTTATTATGTCTTTGTAGAGTACAATAATATATTTTGAAATCTTGAATAGTAGTTAGTAAAATAATATATATATATATATATAATTTTATGTATACCTCGATTTTATCAGGTTTTAATGAGCTATAAATATAATTTATAAACAAAAAGGTTTAAATTTTACTTGATGCAAGTTTTAATATAATTTTCAATTATATAATTGAAATTTTCATTAATTAACATAGAAGATTCTACCAAAATAATTATATTAGAATTTTGTTTTAGCATCATTTTAATATAATATATATGTTAAAATTCGTATCAAGTCAATTCAGCGAAACATTTATCGCGAGACACTTTTTCGCTAAAATTTTATCGCGAATGTCGTTTATCGCGAAAAGTTTTTATGCGAAGGTAAAATCGCGAAACCAAATATGCGAATTTTTTTCCGCTAAACATTTATAGCGAAGGCAATTTCGCGAAGCCATTATCGCGAATTTATTTGCACGCCTTAACCGCGAATTCATTATGGCGATTTTAGCGAAACTTTTTACGCCAACCGTTTAAAGCGAATTTTCTACCGCGAATAGCGAAATTATTATCGTGAGTGGATTACCGCGAAACAATAAATAAATATATTGCTATTGTATGTTTTCTTATAAAAAAATTGATATGCTACTATTGTAATATTATTTTTTATAATTTATTAGTGATTTTCACGCCCAAAATTTTAAGAAAAATTTTTTTTTGAAGTTCAAAAAGATTTTTGATCATATTTTGATTTGAAAAATGTAAATAAATCTTTTTTGAGGAATTCTTTTGTGAATTTTATCATAAATAAACAATCTTATAGATTAAATCTTTTATAGTTTTTTTTAATCATTTTTTAAATTATTTTTGTAAAATTATCTATTAGTATATTAAATGAGATGGTTTTTCTAAATAATTTATTTTTTAAATATTTACATTAAACTTTTTTATGTTATTTTAAATGATCTTTTGTGGGATAATATTTTGATGTGACAATTGTCATATTCGTTATTTTTTAAAATTTTTGAAATTTTTTGACAGGGTAAAAATATGATTTATATTGTAAAGAGGGTATGTATGACTAAATAGTGCATTGCTAAACTGCATTGCTGAAAAGTAATTAATCATAATCAATCAAAATTTGATTATATAATATTTTTTTGAAAATATCTTTCATAAACATTTTTTTTAATGTATATAAATCTATTTTTTATTAAGTAAAAAATTGAGATTAAATATCAAATAATTTATAATTCTATTTTTACTTAATATTATTGGAAAAAAAATATATTTACAAGCTTATTACAACTTAAATTTTATTTTTCAATTGCAAAATTTAACAAATATATATCCATAAGAGGGCTAAATTTAAAATATATTCTTAGGAAACCAGAATAATTATTGGATAGCGCTTTTCTTATATTTGGGTGTAAATACATGTGAAAAACCTAACAAAATTTAAAAAATATAGGTTTCTTTGACTTTTAATTAATGAGTAGGTTTCGAATCGAAAAATAGTAGAAAATTTGTAAGGAACATATTGCTGGCGTTATTGATTAAAATCTCTTCATTTTTGCTTTATAAATGTATATTTAGGTGTTAAACATTATCCTAAAAAATATTTTGAAAATATTATGATTTGACCGAATGCCGAGCTCAAAACCGACCACTTACTAAATATTCGATCGACCAAATTTGGTATTAATATTATTTGGAAAATGATCATTTTTGGTTTATTTATCTATAAATACGTGTAAATCATTACCCCAAAAAATATTTTAAAAATATCGTGATTTGACAGATAACCGATTTGAAACCCGGCCAATGACTAAATACGGCATTGCTAGCGTTATCCATGGAAATTTCTTCATTTTTGGTTTATACGTAAACAACAACGTGTTAAGCATTATCCTAAATAGCGAGCTCAAAACCGACCACTTACTAAATATTCGATCGATCAAATTTGGTAGTAATATTATTTGGAAAATGTTCATTTTTGGTTTATTTATCTATAAATACGTGTAAAACATTATCCCAAAAAATATTTTAAATCGTGATTTGACCGATAACCGATTTGAAACCGATATACTGCATTGCTGGCGTTATCCATGGAAAATTCTTCATTTTTGGTTTATACGTGAACAACAACGTGTTAAGCATTATCCTAAATAATTTTTTGAAAATATTAGGATTTGACCGAATGGCGAGCTCAAACAAAACCGACCACTTACTAATATTCGATCGACCATATTTGGTAGTAATATTATTTGAAAAATGTTCATTTTTGGTTTATTTATCTATAAATACGTGTAAAACATTATCCCAAAAAATATTTTAAAAATATCATGTTTGACCGAATGCCGTTCTCAAAACCGACCACTTACTAAATATTCGATCAAATTTGATAATAATATTAATTAAAAAGTTCATTTTTAGTTTGACAACGTTAAATCTAACCTAAGGTAATAATACGGTCGGATCAAACGAAATCTTGGACAATGAGGAACGCTCCCCTGACTTAGAGGAACGTGTCTTACCTCCCCCGCAATAACATACTTTTTAATACTTGATAGCCTTTGTCACTAATATTTTATTTAGCAATCATAAATTGATATAGTACACATATTTTTGTAAATAAAACACCAATATAGGGGATAATAGCCCGCCAAACCCAAATACTTAATTTTATAAGCGCCGATAAGCCCCTATATATGATCGATATATCTATTTGCTAAGCATTGTAAAGTCGATAGACTACCCTTGTCTTAGGGTCGGAAACTTATTACGGATACCCTCCACGGATGAGCAGAAATAAAGTCCTATGTATATAAATGAAAACACAAGGTTATAAAATTACTTTTTATCAAACTTGAATTAATGACCTTTTTAAATCACCAGGGATACCCTTAAAAATTTCCGACCATTTTGTAATAAGCCATGATTTATATACAATGTAAACTCCGCCATATTTTAGTTTACCAAATTGCAACCAATTGTATTATATGATAATTGTTTATCCATCGTCTTTACTTTAAAATTGTAGATATATAGTTTAAATAAAGACAATTAGAAGGGTCTAGCACGGCCTCAGCTTACCAAATTAAATATGGCAGGAAATCAGACATTTTAAAAACAATATGATTTATAATTATATAATAATTTTAAATTTTAAGGGCTAATATTTGAAATTATTATTTATTTGTTTATTATTTTTTTACGTACTTTCACTTTTCATTTATTTTAGCTATAGGAAAATGCCAAAATATAATTTTTTAAAGTTTTTAGAATTTTAATTTTCATGAAATTGAAAAATACCAAACATTTAGGTAATCTCGACGAAGGTGGAGGAAGGAATAATTTTTTGTAATATTGTAATTATTTTATTTGGAACATTAAAAATTTATTATAATTAAGATTATTTATTAAGTGGTGGGGATAATGTTTTACACGTATTTATAGATACATAAACCAAAAATGAACATTCTCCACATAATATGACTACCAAATTTGGTCGATCGAATATTTAGTAAGTGGTTGGATTTGAGCTCGCCCTTCGGTCAAATCATAATATTTTTAAAAAATATTTTAGGATAATGATTAACACGTTATTGTTCACGTATGGACCAAAAATGAAGAATTTTCCATGGAGAGCGCCAGCAACGCAGTATTTCGGTTTCAAATCGGTTATCGGTAAATCACGATATTTTTAAAATATTTTTTGGGATAATGATTTGCACGTATTTATATATAAATTAACCAAGAAAACATTTTCCAAATAATATTACTACCAAATTTGGTCGATCGAATATTTAGTAAGTGGTCGGTTTTGAGCTCGCCATTCGGTCAAATCATAATATTTATAAAAAATATTTTAGGATAATGATTAACACGTTATTGTTCACGTATAAACCAAAAATGAAGAATTTTCCATGGATAACGCCAGCAATGCAGTATTTCGGTTTCAAATCGGTTATCTGTCAAATCACGATTTTTTAAAATATTTTCTCGGATAATGATTTACACGTATTTAAGATAAATAAACCAAAAGTGATTATTTTCCAAATAATATTAATACCAAATTTGGTCGATCGAATATTTAGTAAGTGGTCGGTTTTGAGCTCGCCATTCGGTCAAATCATAATATTTTTAAAAAATATTTTAGGATAATGATTAACACGTTATTGTTCACGTATGAACCAAAAATGAAGAATTTTCCATGGATACCACCAGCAATGCCGTATTTAGTCATTGGCCAGGTTTCAAATCGGTTATCAGTTAAATCACAATATTTATAAAATATTTTTTGGGATAATGATTTACAAGTATTTATAGATAAAGACACCAAAATTGATCATTATCCAAATATACCAAATTTGATCGATCGAATATTTAGTAAGTGGTCGGTTTTGAGCTCGGAATTTGGTCAAATCATAATATTTTCAAAATATTTTTTAGGATAATGTTTAACACTAAATATACACGTATAAACCAAAAATGAAGAGATTTTGATCAATAACGCCAGCAATATGTTCCTTACAAATTTTCTACTATTTTTCGATTCTAAACCTACTCATTAATTAAATGTCAAAGAAGCCTATATTTTTAAAAAAAATTTATGTTTTTCACATGTATTTACACCTAAATATAAAAAAAAGCGCTATCCAATAATTCTGGTTTCTTAAGAATATATTTTCATATTTATGCATTTAACGCCCTCTTATGGATATATATTTGATAAATTTTGCAATTGAAAAATAAAATTTAGGTTATAATTAGCTAGTAAATATATTTTTTTTCCAATAATATTACGTAAAAATAGAATTATAAATTATCTGATATTAAATCTCAATTTTTTACCTAATAAAAAATTGATTTATGTACATTAAAAAAGTGTTTAAGAAAATTATTTATAAAAAAATATTATTAATCAAATTTTGATTAATTGCTTTTTAGCAATGCATTTGAGCTATGCAGTTTAGCAGATGTTAAATTATAAATTCAATGAAGATATCCTTGAAAAAATGGCACATCATAATTGTTATTTTTATAAAATATTAGATTATTTTTGACGCTGAAATATAATTAAAATTTCAATTAAGAAGTACCGTATAAAAATAATATGGGTTGGCTTGATGGTTCGGCCTGCTAGGTTGATTTGTTGGGTTGGCTTGCTGGATCGTCCTGCTGAGTTGGCTTGCTGGGTCGACCTACTGGGTTGGCTTACTGGATCGACTTGCTGGGTCAACAAAATATAATCGCGGTATAATGTTTTTGATATTAGAAAGATGTTC